TAACAATCCATAAACTAAAAAAAAAAAATAAATTAAAGCTACAGATACGTTAGTTGGATTTACTTAACTGGTATTTGAATATTTGTTGGGAAGCATCTATATGTTGTGCCAAGACAAAATATATTAATGATTTCTTCAAATAAGAAGTTTAAGTGCCCTAGAAAATATTTGAAATTTTTGTTTATTATTTTTGTAAGTGTTCAATAATGATGATTTTATTTTATTTCAACTGTCTTGGACATTTCAAATGTTCAACCAAGTAGAACATAAGCTTCTTGAGGGCAGGGACTATTTTAGATTTTTTAACATCTGACTTTCCAGTGCCTAAGGGTGTATAGACAGAAACTGAATGGAACCAGTTAGAATTCATCGGAACATGCTCATAGATTGTGAGATGCCATCTACCATTCTGATTTAGCAGAAACCACCAATTAGTTCCTTCTACCTTCCAAAACTTTTTTATTTCCCAAAATTACTGCCCTATTTTAATTCTGTATGGCAGGCTAACAGATGCCAAAGCAATAATTCAGTAAGAAAAGAAAAGCATCAAATGAATTGCTTTCAAATGTGCAAAAAAGCAAGCAGTTGATGGATGTATTGATTTTTCAGTTTGTTGAAAGACCCCCCCAATTTGATTAAAAATTTCAAATTAATGAATTAAAAATATTTTTAACACACCTACTATAAACAAGGTACTGGGCACTAGGGATGCAAAGATAAACACTTCGTAGTAATTTTCTACATCAATGCTACCAATTTTAACAAAAAAAAACAAAAAACAAAAAACCAAGAACCCAAATTGGGATTAAAATTATTCCAAAGGCATCCGAATCAGAAAACAAAGTTATAGATACTGACCTGGGGCAGCAACCAATAAAAACAGAAAATGAGCAACAATCATCATTTTAGGGATGGTTTCTTCTCCAGGAGCAGCCCTGGCTCTGAGCTGACTCCCAGCAAGGGGCATGCACTCCTCCAGGAGCTTGTGAAATTGTTTCTGCGGGAAACATTCTGGTTTCTAGGTGCTTTCTGTAAACTTTGCCATAGCATAGCACTCACAAAGTAATCTCTGGCTGCTGAAAAGTGACACCCTCATTTCTCAAGAGAGAAAAAAAAATCCAGAGGGATTTGTCTTGTTGCGCTAAGACCAACAGATTCACTTAGTACCCTACAAGGACTCCTCTGTCTCGTGATTCCTCAGGAACTTGGGGGACATGAATTAGTAGGAAAGTCTCAGGGGATGACCAGCTCACTGGGACCATTCTTCACTTTACAAGAGAGTTTAGTTTAAAGGCATCAAACAAATGATTAGATTTGCCTGGATTTAATTTATTGATCACTTTTCAGGAGCACACTTCTGCGTAAAAGCAATTATTTAAAAAAGAGAACCATGATACTTTTTAAACTTCATTTTTCTTGAGTTATTTTATCTGTTTTCTTTCACAACATAACTATTATGGGGGGAGGGAGAGAACCATAGCTAACCAGACTCCAAGCCATGAATCTGCTTACATCCTAACAGCCAAGCTGGTTGGCTGCCAGGGAAGCTTATGTTGGCAACAGGTGTCGCTCCTATAGAAATCTGATCACTTCTCTGTATCTCTCATCGTTCGCAAGCCTAAACAAGTAAGCAGCCTGGTACAGAGTACACTCACCATCTGGCCAAATGGGGAAGCTCTGGGTCAGGTCTAGGTGACCTCATCCCAGTAGTTTGAAAGATGGTCAAAAGAGCGCTTACTGCCTCTAAAGCTAGGATTCTTAATCAGACGCGTCATGGTTCAGGGGCTATGGATGGATTTCAAGGGCTCCATGAACTTGAGTGGGAGAAATTACATTTCTATTTTCATGGGTGATACAGCAGATAGAGTGCCAGGCCTGGAGTCAGAAAGAACTGAGTTCAAATACGGCCACAGATGGTTACTAGCTGTGTGACCCTGGTTAAGTCACTTAACCCTGTTCACCTCAGTTTCTTCATCTGTAAAATAAACTGAAAAAGGAAATGGCAAACCATTCCAGTATCTTTACCAAGAAAACCCTGAATGGGGTCATGAAGAGTCTTGAAATGACTGAACAAAATGTTCATGAAGCTCTGGTTTCCTTTACAATCCTATGTATTTTATGTTGTGCATTTAAAAAAGCATTCTTCAAAGAAGGAGTCCATAGGCTTCACCAGACTACCAAAGGAGTCCATGTCACAAAAAAAGGTGACAAATCCCTGATCTACAGCCAGAGGACCTGAGTTCAAATCCCACTGATGACATTATCCATGTCACTTTGGGCAAGTAAACTTAGCTTCCTTCAATCTCAGTTTTCTCAACTGTAAAACTGAGGAGCCTAGACTAGATGACTTTGAATGTCCCTTCCAATTTTAAATCTATAAAGATCTTATGACTAGATTAGCTACTCACTTCCTGTGTGACCTTGTCCCTTCCCTTTACTGGGCTACAGTTTTCTTATCTACAAAATGAGAGAAGTGACCTAGAGCACCTCTAAGGTACTAACTAACCTGTTCTATTTATTTCTGATCCTCTTATCAGATAACTGGGCAGCTAGGTGGTGCCATAGTGCCTAGAGCACTGGGCTTGAGAGGAATCAGGAATGCTCATCTTCATGAGTTCAAATCTGGCCTCAGACGCTTATCAGCTGTGTGACCCTGGGCAAGTCAACACAGTTTCCTCATCTGTATAATGAGCTGGAGAAGGAAATGGCAAACTACTCCAGTATCTTTGCCGAGAAAACCCCAAATGGGGTCACAGAATTGGACACAACTGAAATGACAACAAAAATCATTCCATCCTTCTTTACCACAGGTATTCAGACTTGTGGCAGGTAAATCAAAGCACTTGCTATGCATATTTTCTCAGATACTAGGTTAATATAAAAATAAAATATAGCATCTATCTTCATGGTGCTTATAATCCAGTAGGGGTGATTAGACATCGCCTGATGGACCAGCTTCCCATGGCCAAAGTATAGTATTAATATAATAGTTGACATTTACATAATACCTTAAATTTTGCATACATTATCAGACAGGCAGCTTGGGGTGGTGTTCTGTTTCAGATTCTCACACTTGCTAGCTGTGAAATCGTGGATGTGAGGCGTAATTTCTCTAAGCCTCACTTTCCTCATCTATAAAATAAGGATAATAATAGGACCTCCTTCACCGGAATATTATTTACTACCTTCTCATTTTATCCTTACTACAACCCCATGAGATAGGGACTACAGGTAATATTGTTATATTCACCATTTTGCAGAAGAAGAAATTAAGGCTCCTAGAACTTAAGTGGTTTGCCCATGGTTCCAGGACCAACAAGTGTCAGAACTGAAATGTGAACCCAGTGCCAGCCGTTGGGTAAGGAAGATCTGAGTTCAAATCTAGCCTAAGACACTTACTAGCTGTGTGATGCTGGGCAAATCACTTAACCTCTGCCCCATCTTCCTCATCTGTAAAATGGGGATAATAATAGTGCCTACCTTCCAGGGTTGCTATGAGGGTCAAATGATGTTTTATATGTGTGTGTGTGTATGTATATGTGTGTAAATATATATATATATGTACACATAAGTTTTACATATTATCTATAATATTATCATTTTATGTATATCACTGTATAAATTCTAGTTATTATTATTATTAAATAACTATAGGAAGTAACTATAGGAAACCAAAACTGTCCCATGTTAAACAAAACAGAAGAAATTGCTCAAGGAATCCTCAGCAGACAGATCCGTTCTTCTTCAACCTACATCCAGTGAGTTCTAGTTCCAAGGGTAGGTGTGTCTCCTAGACTTTCTAGTCCCTCCCTTTGTTCCATAAAATCTTTGAATTCAGACAAGCAGGAAAAAGCATTTCCCCCACATTTCTGAATTCTGTGAATTCTCCCCAAATGAAAGAATCAGTTCCTTTTTCAGGAAATGCCAGGACCAGAATTCAGGATAATGATGTATTTTCATGTTATTACTGGCTTTTCAAATTGTCACAATAACTCAGCTACAAGAAAATTGAAGAGTAAAAGGGAAAGAAAACCAAGAGTTTGCTGCCACCCGGTGGTCACAGATACCTATTGAGTATTTTCTCCTCGGTAGTAGTATCCATTCAAGGAATGTGAGCTGGAGATGGGGATAGATCACAAAGATTAGGTTGGAGCAAACACCATATGTTTGGAGGCAGATGTGACCTTGTTCTGTCAGGGATCACAGAGCAGTTCCAAAACATGATCCTCAGAGGAGTGTCCTTAGGGGGCTCTGTAGTCAACGTTTCAACATACTTTGAGAGGGCTGAAGTCTTGGTGAGCATCCATAAAGATTGCACCTATTGTCACTGTGCATGCCATCTCACTTGCTTCTCACTGGTCCTGCCAAAATTAGCTTAAGTTGGAGAGAATCGATACATAATTTGTTGCATGCATGCCACAATGAAATTGTAAGGTCATTGTTCTCTACCTGCCAAACTCACATTCCTGTCTTTACTATGCATTTCCATCAGCAGCAAAACTATATATTTTGGCTATATCTTAGCCAACAGAAAAGCCTCCCTAACTCCCCAAACTGAAATTTATAGTTCATTTTCCTTCAAGAACTCAAATATTCACATTATTATTCTGGTAGAACAATAAGAAATTACTAATTTGTGCAATTATTTTAATATTACCCAAATGGAAAAAAATTGAAAACCATGACACGGAGGTCATTATTTTTCTACCCTCATCATTTGTGGAGAAATTTACCACACGTTTAAAAAGGGACCAAGGAATGTCCCATGTCTCTGACAAGTGCATCATCAGCGGCCAATAGGAATGCTAAATATGGTCCCTCCTCAGAAATAATATTTACTTTCAAGGCAACCAAAGGAGAGTCTTTGAAATTCCTAAAGGCTGTTTGGACATAGACAAGCCAGAAGATGAAATGGGGCCCTCCATCCCTCTGCTGAAAAGTGTGTAAATACACCAGTCTCAGAAAGCTAGTGTACCTCACATGAACTGATTTCAGTAGAAATGTATCAGTTTCCGAGGCACTTTTCTGAATCTTTTAAGACTGCTTATGGAAAAGGGCAACAGCCTAGAAGTTTTCCACCAACCAAAAGAAAACATGAGCCCCTCAAAAGAAAAGGAATTGAAAGGTGAGTAACCAGAATTCCTTTCTCTTAAAACTAACAAATGAGTATGTTTTCTTGGCTTTTTCATTATGTGGTATAGATTATGAATCATACTTATTGAAAGAGTCATAACTTCTTCTTATTACATGTTAACACTTTAATAATGTGTTCTATTTAATATTTCAGAAAGTACAGAACCCTACCCCAACAATCCAATGGATCTGTGATCCCATCCATATGTTTATGCCCTCCAGGAATGCAACAAGGAGGAAGAGATAGAGACAGAGAGGGACAGAGTCAAAAAGACAGAGACAGAAAGACAACAAGAGACAGAAAGACAGAGACAGAGAGAAACAGAGACAGAGACAAAGAAGGAATGGGGAGAGGGGGAAGGGGGAGAGGGGGAAGAGGGAGAGGGATAAGGGGAAGGAGAGGGACAGAAGAAAGAGAGGGAGAAGAAGAGGGAAAGGGAGAGAGAGAGAGGGAGGCAGTGGAAACAACCCTAACTTGAGAATTAAGAGGATCTGGGTTCAAATCCTGCTTCTGACACCTCCTTGTTCCAGGCCACTGTGTCTAGATATGAGGGAGTTGGGCTAGTTGTAAATCCATGAGCCTGTAACTATTTGTATCTGAAATAAGGTCTCAGGCCATATGAGGAAAATCCCATAATTTCCCCCTAAAGTCTGGTTTTCATTCTCTGATTGGAAATGAAGGGAAAACATTGATGTTGAAATGATAGGTAATCCACAAGATTCTGAGTCAAAGACTTTTACCATTTCAGCAACTCTGATTAGACACCATTCAATGTGACACTATAACCAAATGCTTTTTGATTAGTTTCTCTGAAAAGTTTCTGTGTGTGTGTGTGCGTGTGTGTGTGTGTGTGTGTTTGGCTGCTGAAATATGTACCACTTATCTCCTATCTTGCAACATTGCAACTCATCTCATGTAACATTTTAAAACTCTGTCTTGTAATCAACATTCCTTATCAAGTTCCAAGCCATGGAAGACAGACAAGAACATCATTGGTGACCAGTGAGAATGCCAGCCAGGATCTCTCCCCTAAAATAATGCATGTAACACTTTGAAGCTTCTCTCCAAATACTGTAATTGAACTTGAGAAGTCAGTCTGGTCATAGTAAATAATGTGCTGTCTTCTTATCTCTAGAGGCTGCTCCTTGACCTTCTCAGCAGCCTTCATGAGGGACATTTCAGACAAGTAAGATCTTTTCATGAAGACTAGGACCCTAAGGAAGCAATAATTAACTTTTATTGGGTTTGTCCATAACTATTTTACAGTTTTCATTGCTTTGCTAAGAAGTAGCAATGTGCCCCTTGGGACAAATATCATCGCAAGTAAAATAAGATAACTCCTCGGTAAGACATTAAAATAGGAAATGCAAATTTAAAAATAGTACCGTTAAAATTGCTTTTGGAGAGTGATGACACCAATTTTTTTTCCTTGGGTCTCCAAGCAAAAATTTCAGAAAGGTCCCTTTTCCCTTTGTGAACTGAAAAACACAGAGGTTGCCAGTGAAGGATGCAGTCCCCTACTTGCCTGGCCGCTCTTACAACACAGGAACAGTCAGTTAGCCCTAGAAAGATAGAAGGCGGCACCTAGCAGAAGCTGTCTCCTTGTTCTCAAATACCATGTGCACTTTCGCCATGCAGCTCTAAACCTCATGAGCAATTGAGTTCAAATTTAAAGACTTGCCCGAAATAATAATAGCTAGCATTTATATCACGTTTTGTGGTTGACAAAGCACTTTACATATTATCTCATTTGATGCTCAAAACAATAGGTGTTATCATTACCCCCATTTTACAGATGAAGTTAAGACTGGGAAACATCCAGGGTCACCCAGGCAGGAAGTATCTGGGGCAGGATTTGAATTGAAGTCTTCCTGATCCCAAGTCAAGCTCTCTCTTCATTCTGTCATCTAAACTGCCTCATTTTTACCTAGCTGAAATGGGTAATATAGTTAGATCTGAAAGGGACCCTAAAGGTCCCTGAGTCCAACCGTCCCACTTTAAAGATTAAAAAAACTGAGGCTCAGAGACATTGCAGAGTCAGTGACTTGCAGAATCTGAACCCTAGTTATCCTGGCTCCAAATCAGCACTCGATGCCATGACGCTGACTCTACTTATTCTTTGCTTAATCAGCAGAATCTGTGATTAAGATGAGGCTACCACCCCAACTCTACTACCATGATTTTGTCCTCTTATTGTACCTCCTTAACCTCTAACCCTCCAAGTCTCTGGCCTCATTGTGGAGATCGGAGTAGAAAGAATGGGGTTTGAAGGCTAATTTTTCAAGTGAGTGGTCTTTGATTGCAGAGTCCTTGGCAGGTCGAAGAGACACTCTGAGTCATGGATAGTATTACTCTATCGGTGTGTATGTATCTCAAATGTGTTCACATTGTTTCTTACCAATAGAATGTAAGCTCCTTGAGAGCAGAGACGATTTGGTTTTTATCTCTGTATTCCCCTGCTACGTGGTAAGCACTTAATAAATGCTTATTGAATGAATGAATAAATACTACATAAAGTGTTTTGCAAACTTGAAAGTGTTATATGTGTCAGTTACTATTGCTACTACTATATAGTATTTGTAAATTAATATTTGTAAAGCACTTAATATAGTGCCTGGCACATAGTAGGCACTATATAGATGCTTATTCCTTCCCTTTCCCCCCTTTATCACTGACTGTTGTGGCTCCTACTAAGTTGAGGGTAGGGAGAGGGATACATGGAGTAATTTAAGCAATATTTTTAAAATATTAAATATTTTAAATATATCAATAAAAAGGTATTCTAAGAAATATTATCACTAAGCATGTAGGAGGCATTAGGCAAATCACTTTGCCCCAGGGAACCCCTGTTTCCTCCTCAGGAACATGAAGGTGCTAGCCCGGAGGATCGAATAAAATAACTGAGGTAAAGCCCTCTGCAATCCTTAAATCATCATATAAATGCTAGCTAGTTTGCTGTCCCGGCATTCTATTTTTCTGAGTCCTGTAAGCCCTAACTGGACGGTCGCCATGCCTGTTACTGACCACATGTGCCTGGATTTATATAACACTAAATGGTTGCTTAAAAAAGTGAAAAAACAAATCAATCACCTTTTTATCTACAAATGTCCAAATGACAGTTTAAACTGACCTTTCTTTCCCCTGCTGTGTTAATTCAGTGGGCCATTTGTGTGGGCACTGGGTAGATGGGGGCAACCCTTGAAAGTTTGTTTTCATGATTTTTCAAATTTTATTTACTTAAAGGACCTTAATTACAGTTCTCCTCTCTTTGCTAAGGTGGCATAGAGCTGTGTCTACCAACTTAGTTAAACAAAATGTACTGGTCCCCAAAGAGGAATCTTCCAGTGGGAGTGACCTAGAATCACAACAAAGTCCAGAAAATAAGAAGAAGAATTTTATGAAGAAAATAAAGACTGCTTTCAGGAGAACACTGCCTGAGCACTACAGAATCAAAGCAGCAAGGTCCCATAAAAGCGGCCCCTCAAACCACAAGGAAGCTCTCTTTTCAAACACTCAGAGTCTCCTTCCTAGAATTGCCAAGGAGCGGCGGCCTCACAAATTATTTGCCAAGCCCCAAATAGGAAAGCTTCCACAAAATGGTAACTAATGGAATGGACATTTGTATAGAAGGGGGAGGACAGGGTGAGGGAGGGAGGTGAGGCAAGGAAATGAAATGGAAAGAACGGTGGGTTTGGAATTAGAGGATTAAAGCCCTTGCTCTGCTGACTTACTACCAACACAATTTTGGACAAGTTTTTTTTTTTTCCCTTACTAGACCTCAGTTTCCTCATCTGTAAAAGGAAAGGACTGACTTGGCTGATCCCTAATGTCTCTTCCAGGAAATAAGGAAGGAAGGAAGGAAGGAAGGAAGGAAGGAAGGAAGGAAGGAAGGAAGGAAGAAGGAAGAAAGGGAGGAAAGGAGGGAGAGAGGAAGGAAGAGAGGGAGGGAGGAAAAAAGGAAAGGGGGGAGGAAGGCAAGGAGGGAGGAAGGTAAAGAGGAAGGGAAAAAAGGAAGGAAATCCCTTATAGTATCTTAGCATGTGCAGGGAGTCCACATCAAGTAAACTAGAAATCATGTCTCTCTGTCTATTTGTCTGTCTTACTGTCTATGTCTATGTCAGTGTCTCTGTGTGTCTATATGTATTTGTGTTTTATAAACAAATCTGGTGTTTTTCTGGTTGTAAATCTGGTTGATTACTTTTTCAAACAAACCCACTCTACTGGAAAAAAGCAGTCACCGACATGGGCATCCAAGCATCTTGTAATAACCTGGCGTGGACTGACCTGTACATTTCTATTGAAAAAAACAACAACAAAGAAAACACACTATTAATCTGACTTACCTAAACACAGGGAACCAGGGGAAGGTGAAGGGTCAGGAACAAAGGGAGAGCTGATTTCTTCTCTGACTTCCAAATCCCTGACTAGCTTTAATTTCTTGTTCTTAGTCAGTGAGTAATACTAAAACCATTCTCCCTACTGCATCAATAACAATTTACTGGCTAAAATCCATCTCAATCAACTAGAAACCCTCATGACATATTCTTGCCCTCCCTGTAAGATGAGCTCTCACCTTTTCTTCATCTTCAGTTATAGGGTCCCAGATCAGGCTTCAAAGTCATATATCGAAGAGATGACCCTACTCCATTGTGAATTGGTTTCCATAGAGGCTTTGGTGACAAAAAATAGGAGCATAGGAGAGAAGAAAAGGCTGATTCAGGAAAATCTACTTCCACCAAAGGGGTCATCATTAATGGCTTCTGAAGTAGCTTTTTCCAGCAATAAGACTTCTTAATCTTCTCTCTCAAGTCCTGTAGTAATACCTCTCTAGGGTGAAGAGGTGGTTATGTTTTTTTGGGTTTATTTGTTTTTTTAAGTCAGAAAAGCTTTTGAGCACAGGGCTGGTAATGAATTATCTTGACTTTTATGGAAAGGCCAGGCTTGCTAAATTTAGAGAGGCTCATCATATGAAGTTTGCCTTCTCAGTGATGATTTTTTTTTTTTGCTCAAAGCAACTCACAAAGACTATCTACTAAAGTTTGGAGGGGTTATAATTTTCACTAATAAAGAAATTGTCCACATCAATGAAACCAGAAACTAATACAGGATCATATGAAGAAACATGAGATATTATCTAAGTCCTTTATTTTACAGAGAGGGAAATTGAGCCCCAGTGAAACTAAGTGACTTGTCTAAGATCACACAGGAAGTAAGTCACAGAGTCACAATTTGAACTCTGGTTCTCTGACTCCAAATCCAATACTCTTCTCACTAGACCTTGGCTTCTGGATGTATTAGTGAATGAACAAAAATGTCTGATGTAAATAAAACATTCATGTTTGTGATTCTCATCCACTTTTTCTCCCTTTCTTAAAGCAACCATTCAACTGGATGTTGTAGAAGCAGAAACTGAAGAGATTACTGGGGGAAATACCCTTGTTCGAGCCAGAAGGACAACAAGACAGCTCTCTGTGACCTCTCTCCCTTCTGGACTTCAGAAGGTAAAATGATTCATGATCACAGAAGTTTGAGTTGGAAGGACCAATAGAGGTCACCTGGAGTTGTCTAGACTCTAGACTAAGTCACATCCAACAATGAAGCCCCACCCCAGCACACCAGAAAAGGGCTCAGACAGTCTCTGCTTGAATATCTCTAACAGGGAGAACCCACAGCTTTGCGGCAGCTCTAATCATTGGGACATTTATCAGGAAACCAAACCTACATTTGACTCTTTGAACTTCCTGCCCATTTCTCCTGGTTCTGTCCTTGGAACCAAACAAAACAAGCTGAATCCTTTTCCAGGCTAAACTCTTGAAAGGAGTGGTCACTTGCCCTCAAGCTTCCCTTCCATCTTTTCTATTCTAACAAGTTCCTTTCTGCTAGTGAAAAACAGAGCAGAATAGACTATCTCTTTGTTGGTTCCTCAGCCATTTTGAAGAATGATCTTGTCATTAAAGTAAGTCAAGAATTGATTGACCTTTGTCAGAGAGCTCTAGCAGATATCTGGATAATGAAGTCTCTCATCACTATTTTATCATGGCTCCATGCCAGATTCTCAGCCTTTTCATTTGATTTCTCAGAAGATACTTTCTTACCATCCTCTGTAAGGAGTACTCTGACCCTGACCAGGAATCTATGATGTTTGTGTTTGTCCAAAAGCCTAAATACTCATCCTCAGGAAGCAACTTCTTAGTCAGCTGTTCAATTCCCAAATGAATGCTTCTCCTTTGCATTCTTTGCCTTCAATGGGCAACAGTGAGGTAAAAAAACATCTGTGCCCCTAAAGCCTTCAGTGGCTTGCACAATAAAATTAGGCGATATTTTTAATATTCCTTCTGACTGTCATTTGTGCCCATATGAATCACCAGAAAGGGATGGTAACCATCCGTTTTGATTAGCCTTGCAAGTTTCTCTGTTACGTTTTAGATACATACCCCCAACAGGGAGTAGAAATGTCCATTGTTGTTATCAGAATGACAATGCCCCTGTGTGAGAAAGTCATCGATAATCACCATTCTTCACTTTGTTCACTTCTTCCGACCCTGATGGTCTTTCATTTGGCACATTCTGTGGCTCAACTTTATCATTCCTTGGAGTATAAGCATCTTTTGTCTCCTCAAAACATCCAATTCTCTCCTCTTCAAGAGGAACCTCAAATCTGTTTTTAAGTTTTAAGGATAACTTTTCTCCTCTGTATATCATTCTTCTACTCCCTAAACTGACAAGGGTCAAATTTCCTCTTGTTTGCCCCAAATACCTTTTTTTTTCATTTAATCCCCACTTCAAATCCCTCTCAATATGTGTGGAGTGTGGAGTCCCTTTACCTCTTCCAGGAGGGAACTTAACTTACAATTAGAATACAAATAACTGACACTTGACTGTGTCAGAAATATAAACACTAATCATTCAATGTGAGTCACTGCAAAATTCTTCCTGCTCTCCATCTAGACTTCAATTTTCAGCTTTGGTTTTGTTGTTTTTTCCCAACTACTTGTGGTTGCTTACACTTCATCTCAAGTTCTTTTAATAATCTCTACAGGTAATTATCACCTCAAGGATTTGACGTCCCCATCTAATTTTCTAACCTTAGTCTCAAGGAAAACTCCACAAGGATACCCTACCCCTCTTCCCTCTAACTTTCTGTCCACTTTAACAACCATCAATCTACTCTACCAATCTATTTTAACCACCCTTTTTCCCACTTATCTTTTCTTACTTACCTTTTCTTCTTAACCTTGCCTTGCCAACTATCTTCTCCATTTCTTTCTCCTTGAGCTTTTTTCCTAATCCATTTTAATCCTTTATTCTTTCTCTCTTTCAGTCTTCTCTCAAAGAATCTGGAAGTATGATATGCACCTGCATCATAGAATTTAAGAGTTCAAAGAGCCCTCAGTAGCTAACTGTTCCAAATCATTAATGAAGTGAATCCTCATTTTATTCTGTCTCATGGTTTTTCAGCTCCTCCCTTGACTTTGAAAGAAGGAAAACCTCTTACCTATAAAGACAGATCATTAGCCTTTTGGGAAACTCTAATTGTTGGAAATGTTTTTCCTGACGTCAGGTCTAAAATTGCATTTTTATAAGTTCCACCCATTATTCCTGGTTCTGCCATTTAAGAACAGAACAAATCTAATAAAACAGAACAAATTTAATTCCTTCTCACATTACAGTCCTTCAAATATTTGACATAGTAATCATGTCCCCCCTGAGAGTCCTCTTCTATCATGTCCCCAATGAGTGTTCTCTTCTGAGGCTAAATATATCTACTTTCTTGGACTAGAGGTAGCTAGGTGCACAGTGGATAGAGCACCGGGCCTGGAATCAGGAAGACCTGAGTTCAAATGTGTCCTTAAATACTTAATTACTAGCTGTGTGAGCAAGTCACTTTACCACTATCTGACTCTGTTTCCTCAACTACAAAATGGTGATAATAATAGCACCTACCTCCTATGGTTGTTAAGAAGATCAAATGAAATAAATACTTGTAAAGCACTTAGCACAATACCTGGCACACTGTGGATGCTTAATAAATACCTGTTTCCTCTCCTGCCTCCATGAGGTCAAAACTATTTTCATAAGAATACTAAGACATTATTTGCCCATTAAACTACTCCTCTCTTTTCCACCTGCATATATATGTGAAGTCAAATGTTCTTCACATGCTTCAATCAAAACAACATATCAGAGCAAACTGAATGCAGAATCAGACATGAGAATTCAACTATCTTTTATTAAGCCAGACACTAAAAAGATTTGCAAAAATATGTCAAACAATGCCATTCTCATTATTTTTTTTGTTTGGGAAAATATAGATTTTTTTATAAAGATACATTATTTCTGTTAAGACAAAATGGGGTTTTTAACTTATTTTAAATGAACAAATAAATACCTTTAAAGTTTAGCACCTTTCACTTCTAATCTGATAAATATCCATAGATAGAACCCAGACAAACCAAAACTTTTTAGGGTTCTCAATAATTCTGAAGAATGTAAAGGGGATGCGGAGACCAAAAAGGTTGAGACTTACTACCCTAAGGTATACCCATCCAAAGCCATAATTCAGTCATGATAATAACTACCTGTGAGATCAAATTTTCTCACTTGCCTTAGCACCTCTGAGGCATCCTGTCTGTTGCCTAAGCTTTGGGCATTTGTGTATGAACATTTGAGGGCATGGGTTTTACTATGTTCACCCTTATTGGGTTATGTCTATTCGCAAATCAACAACTTTTCTTCTTCCTTCATTGTAGCTACTCCTACGGTATTTAGCTTGGAGGGTATACACAAAGGAGCCTTCTCCTTCTCCCTTCCATTTTAGTTTAAAGCCTTTCTAAATTAGATTTGGGAAACACCTGGCAAATACATTTTTTACAGCCTTTCCTTATTAGCTATTCTCTGCACTTGATCAGGTATCTGGCCTAATTTTTAAGCCATGGTCAAGAAGCTTAAATCCCATTCTCAGACACCTCATTATCTTATCCAGCTGTTTAGTTCCCAAATTCATTTTTTTCCTTCCTTTGTCCCCTTCCTTTAATGGACAATAGTGAGGAAATCACAGCCTGTCCCTCTGTGGTCTTCAATTTCTTACCCGACTTCTTAATCTCAGGCAATACTTTTTTAGGTTCCTTCTGGCCACACCGTTGGTGTCCACTCTCCTCAGTTGTGAGTGATTGTATCGGTCTTAATATGTCTCAGGATGTTCTCTGCTATGCTCTAGATATACACACCCCGGGGCGACAACATCTCAACTGTGGTCAGCAGATCCACCAACAACTTTCAGAGCAGGGAATCACCAACTTCTCTTCTGCTTCTCCCTCTGCCACATACTGGATAATCTTTCACATGATAGAGTTTCTGGGGTTCCACTAGGTACTTCTTGGAAGCACAAGTAGCTTCTTCCTGCTCAGAGCATCTGGCCACCTTGCCGGTCTTTAAATTCTCATTGCAGCACCACTGTCCTTTCCTTTCTCCTTCTCTTCTGTGTCATGCTCTTCTGCTCCCTTCCACTCCAGTCCCTTCAGATTGCCTCTTCTCCTCCCCCTCCATTCCTGTCCAAGTTGAAGCCTGGCTTTTGTTTCCTCTAAGATTACTTCATTCTCCCTAACATCCTGAAGTGTGGGGAAGATTCAAGTCTCCATCTTCTCCAGTTGGGAGATAAACTTATACTTGGAACACTGATGATGGTCACTTGTCTGCAGTAGAAATACAAAAATCACATACTGGAGGCCAATCATGGTAAAATTTCCTCCTCTTTTCCATACTGATTGAGATTTTTCAGTCTTGTTTTAAAAATAAATACTAGCTAATATTAGTAAATATATTATACTGCTATTTTTAAATATGTTTATTCTGCAACCACAGGCACTTAGTTAAAATTTTAACAGCCAATAAAAGATTTCCAAAAATTAATATAACTCACTTTCCTTTCCTTAGTCTTGCAACCTCAGCTTTACTCACCTTCCCTTCAGTATTCTTCCAGTCTCCTGTCTTTCACCAAATTGCCCCACCTACCAACTTAATCTATCGACTTGCTTTGCCCTCTAATCGTTCCACTTGCTTTTTCATATTTATTTTGCCTTATCTTGCCAACTTACTTTCTCCCTTTGCTGCCTCAAGTCTTTGACTTCCTAAGTACTTTTATATCCTCCCTAATTGTCCTTGATTTAGTTCCTCTTTCACCCCAGAAATAAAATTGAGACCAGTACCTGGGTCCAAGATTTTTCTCCTTTCAGTTTCTCCCGAACTTCTCCAAATGTCTCCTCTTCAGATTCAATCTCTGATCTCCTTCACAAACCACTTAACAGACCCTCTTTTTCCTTTATTCAGCTCACGTTCTCATATTTTTTCCCTATCCTTCTCCCAAGACCCTCTTCGATAAAAACCAGAAATTAATCAATGTGATGTTAGAACAAAATTGCTTCCAAAGGCCTTTTGGATCAGAAGCTAACTTGCCATTTCGTGTGTTTCTAATACCAAAAAATTCTTCTATCTCAAATGCCAAACAAAGCCAGAGATAGCATTTGTTGTTTTATTTATTGTTTGGTTTTGTTGTTGTTGTTGTTGTTTTTTGTTTTTTGGGGGGTCTTTTTTGGGTTTTTTTTTTTGGTCTGCTATGTCAAACTGTTGATTTACTTTGAGTCCAGTAATTCTATCTCCCAGTTCTCTTTTATGGGATTTCATAGGTCTAACCATACCACCCCCAAGTGCAAACTCAATCAGAAACTAACTGATTTGGGGTGAATGCGGTGTTCAGGGAAGACTAGCACCTCTGGTATGAGAGATTGTTGAGCCCTTTTCAGGGCTGCTCATCCACCTTTGGTGTCTACCTGGCACACAACTCACACCAATGGCTCTAAGAAGCTGCAGCATGTACCACAGCTACACCCCAGTAAAACTGTCTCAGCAGATGGACTAAACCAGGTTGAAGGTAACTGACAGGCCTCATTGGTAAGCTAGGAGGATGTCTACCCCAGCATGTGAAGACTTCACCCCAGAGGAAGGGGTGGATAAGAACAATCTGTTCCCATGGCCGTTAAGGTGGAGGAAGTGGGCATTGTGAAGCACTTAGAATTTGGTCAGACATCAAAGAGGCCAAGGTTATCCACTGCATCCTGGGCCACTGCCTGTCATATTGACTTTTGTTTTGCCACTGGACTTGGATGACTCTGGAAAGAGATTGAGGATAATGACTTTGTGCAACTCTGACTCACTTAAATCCAATTCACCCCATCATATCATTGGTCCTCTTTGAAAATGAAGGATAGCCACCACCAACAATGTACTTCCATCTAACTTTCAGGAGAAACTAATATCAAAGAAAGACAATTGGTAGTGTTAAACCATGGTGGCTCAGATGCTGTATGTCATGCATGTTTGAAAGTGGATATGGTAAAGGATAGGTTGAAGGAGCTAGTTGATCTTTAACTTGAAGAAGGGAAACCTGAGAGGGGGGAAGAGGAGGCAGGCAGGGAGAGAAACACGACAGCTGCCTTCAAGATGTGAAGGTCTGTCACATGAAACAGAGATTAGATTTTTTTTTTCCTTACTGGTCCCAAGAAGGCAAAGCTAAAAGCAATGGGGAAAGGTACACAGCGGCAAATTTAGACTTGAAACGAAGACAAATCTCCTATTGGAGCCACCCCAAAGCAGTAGTGGTCGCACTAAGGGACCATAGCTCCCCTCTTCCCCTCTCAGGTTGTCAAGACAAAACTGGTCATTGGTCAGGATGTCATCAAAGGGATCCTAGTTCAAGTGTGGGTTAGACAAGATGTCCTTTGAGGTCCTTTCCAACTCCAATAATTCTGTGATTCTGTGATTTCACAGAAGCAGCCTAGGATAGTGGGTAGAATAGTGCAACTGGAATCAGGAAGCCCTGGATTCAAGTCCCACAATAGGTAGATAAATAGAGGATAGACAAGTTGATACGTAGGTAGGTAGATAGTAGGTGGATGGATGGATAGACAGACAGACAGACACAGACAGAGACAGACAGAGATAAATAGAAAGGTTGATACAGATTTATTAAATGCTTACTATGTGCCAGGCACTGTGCTAAGCACTAGAGGTATAATGCAAGCAAACCAACAAGACAGTTTCCACCCTCACGGATCTTACATTCTAATAGGGGAAAACAAAACATAGAAAGGAGCGGGGAAAGGAGGAGTCAGGGGACACTGACATATGCTGGGAGTGCTCATGAAATGGTGGTCCCAGCTAGATACTCAACAAGAGAACAGGATCTAGGGTGGAGGCATCTTGAGGAGGTGGAGAAGAAATGAACTTACATGCTGTGTGACCCTGGACAAGTCACATAACCTCTAGGACCCTCCAGCAACCCCCTAGTACTTATCTGTTGTCATAGAAAGGTTGTCATGTGTGTTAGTAGAGTGAGTTTTAACACGAGACTCCCCCATGCTGAGAAAATCACAGTTTCTTCCTGTATTTGCATATGGAAGATTTCCTACTGTGGAACTCTATGGGTTTCTAAGTATATGTGAATTGGAGTGGAGAACTGGGGCAATTTTCTGGTTAATTCCACAGCCCAAATGAGTCACACCTCACTTATCTGGATATTTTAGGTTAGTGGGATTTGTCTTGAATTATCCAGATGTGGCAGTCACTTCACTTTTCTACATTGCTCTGTGTGTAGACTGTCCATAGAGGAAGTAGGTTTTCAAATAGGTCTCCATGATCAGAGGGCTCTCATGCTTAGGTTCAAAATTTTGCTTTCTCTGCTACATTTGCTCCAACCCCATTTGTGAACCATTCAGCCAAGCCCATAGAGGTGGTGTGGGGAGTGGACAGGCACCGCCAACTTTATACAGGACTTACACAAAGGTGTGCGATCTGATTATTCAGTGCATAAGGAAGGAACAGGGAAGAAAAAATTAAACCAGAGCTCATTAGCCAGGAGCCATGACCTTGGAATGATTTCCCATGGCAATCTCATAGGGCAAGTACTTTAACTAGCAAACCAGGGTGAGGGGAAGGAAGTACGATGCATGGGGAGAAAAAGCCCAGGGCTTTCTTTTCATGTTCCCAGACTCTTCAGCCATCAGAATAAAGGAATGTGCCGAACGGTGTGCCCAAATTAATGGCTTTATCCAGTAATAATGAGCTTTTGGAGGCACTGGTCCATGGAAGCTCAGATCACTTACTGAGCTCAGTGGTTCCAGGGGTAATTTTCCCTCCTCTACTTATGTTTGACCTGTTTCCTCTCAATGCTATAGATTCTCTCTGAGCCAGGCCTTCTTGTTTCTCTGCATCCTACAGATCTCTTCAAAGAAAGCTCTTTGCACAAAGCACATCCACAGGGCGTGGAGAATAATATGCCTATGTACGGCTGTCAGCCAAATATTTTTACCTGGCAGATGTTCATAGTTTACAAGCAAATACATTTTATGAGTTATTGTACCTTGTAAAATGCGTATTTAAACATTAATGGAGGGCTCCTGGTAGCTCTCCCTGCCTGATCGGTTTTTTCAATTCTTTCACTAGGTCTCATATTTATCAAAGAAGAGACGGCGCTTCCCAGTGCTTAGAAAAAAGAAAGCTAACATGGAAAACATCCTTTGTGCCTCTGATTTGCCAGTAGGAAAACTTCAGATGCAGGTATCAGACTACGCTTTTTGCTTTGCTTTTGTATTTTAGGTGATAGAAGTAAGTAGTATGTGAAGTCTAAAAAACATATCGATATAATAGCTATCCAACAAGAGAGGAATGTGGAAAGAAATTTTTGTATATTAATATTAATTAGAATGCAATCAAGATAGATAAGTGTGAGGGACACAGAGAAGCCTGGAAAGACATTTATAAAATTATGCAACATGTGTGCTGGGGGATGAGGAGAAATTGAACCAGAAGAATATTATACACTTCCTCTCATCAAATAAGGAAAAATGAATGAGAATCAAGCAAGCAAAAAGCAACAAGCATTTATGAAGTCACTCATGCACCAGGCGTTCTGCTAGGCACTGGGAATACACAAGCAAAAGTGAAATAATCCCTGCCTTCGGCATGCTTCCATTTTATCAGGAGGACAACAGGTACACTTATAGGTATATACAAAAGAGAGTCATAGCTTTTGAATTGGAAAGGACCTTAGAATTCATCAAGGTCACCTCTTTAATTTTCAGGTGAACAAACTGAGGTCCAGAAAGATGAAGTCACTTCAAAGGGAACTCAGCTAGTAAGTGTCAGGAGGAGGATTCAAATCCAGGTCTTTCTGACCCCACGATCACAGTGCTAATCACTGCCCCCTGCAATGTCACTGGAGAGGAGGGGAGGACACTAGGAGCAAAGGGGCATCAGAGAAGGCCTCATGTTGGAGGCAGTGATTGAACTGACTCTTGAATGAAAACAGGATTTCTTTCTTTCTTTCTTTCTTTGGTTAGGCAATTGGGGTTAAGTGACTTGCCCAGGGTCACACAGCTAGTAAGTGTCAAGTGTCTGAGGTCGGATTTGAACTCAGCGCCGGGGCTCTATCTATTGCGCCACCTAGCTGCCCCCGAAAATAGGATTTCTAAGGAGCAGAAGCAATGGCAAAGAATGGACCAAGAATTCTGAGCGAGACTTAGAGGACTCTGATGGGAGGGAAAGTATGATAAGACGTTATGCACTGAAATGAATTGATTTAAACTTGAATCGTTACTAAGCACATTTAGTTGTTCGTATGTTGTTAGGTGGTAGATGCTGAGCTTCTAATATCCAAATCCTCAGATGGGTCTACAGTCTCATGGGTGTTGGTTTGATGCAGATCCTTCCAATAATGCAGATTGAAAAAGGCACCCATGGCTGTCCATCTAGCATCCTTTGCAATTGACGTGTGTTCAGTACATTTTCTCTTCTGCTCATACATTTCCCTGAAGATTTAGAGTATAGAAGACACGAGTTCAAGTCTTGCCTGAAACACTTACTGGCTGAGCGACCCTGGTCAAGTCACTGAACCTCTCTCAGCCTCAGTTTTGTCATTTATAAAATGGGGATTATAATAGCACCTACCTCAGATGACTGTCGTGAGAACCAGATGGGTATATGTAAAGCACTTTGCAAATCAGAAAACACTATGCAAATGCCAGCTGTTATTATTATCTCTATCATCACTATTTCGATGTATTGCAGCCTGCTTCCTACCACCTGCCTCTTCATGGTCCTCTGAGTGGGGCTATTTCTTTTCAACTCTTTGGTGACTAGCTCACAGTCTTAAGATGGCACTAGTAAGATATTGGTATTAAAAAGCTATGCCTTGATTATTACAAACTTAAACACCTTACTTTTTTCTAAAGCTCCTAAGCGTACGTTTTAAAATGAAAATGTGGACACGGGATTAGAATGATTACAAGAATTAAGGAAGCATAGACGTGAAGACCACCTGAAAGGCATGCCAACCACAACAACCAGGTCCCATACAATAGATTTCAGGATTGAGTGAATTCCACTAAAAATAAATGCAGGCACAAGGGCATTTTTTTTTTAAAGAAAAAGGAGACTTTTTGCCACCAGAAGGCAAATATCTATTGTTGAGGTCTCAAATGATGGCCAGTACTCAAATTAGATGAATACTCTGGGATTTGAAAATGCTTGCTAAACTTCTTGACTCTTGCTTCTCCAAAAGCAGCTTGCACTTCCACGTCTACAATGCACCCAAGTCTGCTGTCGTATTTCTTTGTATCTGTCCACTTAGGTGGATGACCTCATAGAAACGGTGACAGAAAAATCCATCAAACTCCTGGCCCAAAGACACGCAGAACTCCAGCAGTGTGAATTTCTCGGAGATGAGATTCTTCAGTCATCCAAGCAGTTCCAGAGGGTTTCCAAGAGAACCATGAGGAAATATAAATGGAAAAATGTGTGTTTTCCATGTACTTGTTGCTGCTATTGAGTCCATTACAGCTAGTATGGGCCGCTAGGTGGCGCCATAGTGCACAGAGTGCCAGGCCTGGAGTCAGGAAGATTCATCTTCCTGAGTTCAAATCTGACCTCAGACACTTATTAGACGTGTGACCCTGGGTAAGTCACTTCACCCTGTTTACCTCAGTTTCCTCATTTGTAAAATGAGCTACAGAAGGAAATGCAAAATCACTCCAATATCTTTGGTAAGAAAATCCTAAATGGGGTCATGAAGAGTCAGAAACAACTGAACAACAACACAGTATAAAAAATGATATTCCTAATGCACAGGTCTGACTATGTTCATCACCCCCCTCCTGAGGTTTCTGTGGTTCCCTACTGCCCCTAGGATCAACTACACACTCCTCTGGTTGGCATTTGACTCTGATCACAACTTGGTTCCAACCTCTCTTTCCATATGGTCCACATTAGTCCCCCTACACACTACAAACAGAACACGCTACAAACTGCCGTTCCCATGTACAGCATTCTATCTCTGATCCACTTGTCTTCACACAGCCTGACTCCCACACCTGGGATGATGCCCGTCTTTACCTCTGCCTCCTGAAAGGGAGTAGGATGTAGTAGAGAGGTCATTGAACTTGAGTCAGGAAAACTCAGGGATTTAGATTCAAATTCTGCCTTAGACACTCACTGCCTTTGGGGCCCTGGATAAGTCATTGAATTTTGCTGCGCCTCAGTCTCCTCATCTGTAAAATGACAGGTTTGAACTTGATGGGGTCTCTGAGGTCCCTTTCAACTCTACAATCTAAGATCCTGGGATCCCGAGTTCTTTCGGAGGCCCACCTTAGGTTCTGCCTCCTCCATATCGCCAGCCTTTCCAGGTCTTCTTAGCTGCTGGTGATCAACAAATGACTTTGTATGTATTTGTGGATGCTCTCATCTGATGTAGATGATGTTCTGCAATCGATAGTTTTGAAGAGTTTCCTAGAGAATTGAGAGATTAATTGACTTACCTGTGATCCTACCGCCAGTATGTTCTAAGGCAGGATTTGAACCCAGGTCCTCCTGACTCAATGGCCAGTCCTCTATTCACGACACCACGCTGCCTCTCTCTGCCTTTTCAAAATGGACTTTGTCCTGCACCTTTCCCCATTCCTTCTCTCTCTCTCTCTCTCTCATTCTTTTTCGCCCTCTCCTCACTCTCTCTCCCCTCTTCCTCTGTATCTCTCTCTATCTTTCCACCCTTTCTCTCATTTCTCAGCTCCAATGGGTTTTACTCTCATCTCTATGCAGAAGATTCCAGGCCTACACATCCAGCCCTAGTATCTCTCCTGAAGTCCCGCCCCACACCACCAACTACCTTATTGGCCTTTTCCAATCAGATGTTTCAGAGGCATCTCAAATTCAACATGCTGGATTCAGAACTCATTACCATTCCCTTCTGAAGTTCTCTATTTCTGTCAAGGACACCGGCATCCTTCCAGTTACCCAACTTTGGAACCTCAGAGCCATTATCTCCTCTTCATTCACCATCACTCTTTACAACCAATGAGTTGCTGTCTTGTCATTTCTACATTGGCAGCTAGGTGGCTTAGTGGATAGAGTGTTGGGCTTGGAGCTGGAAAGATCGGTGTTCAAATTTAACCTCAGACACTAGCTGTGTGATGCTGGAAAAATCACTTAACTTCTGCCATCATCAGTTTCTTTATCATAAATTGGGGATCATAAGAGCACCTAACTGCTAGGATTGTTGTGAGAACAAAATGAGACATTTGTAAAGTACTCCGGAAACCTTAAAGTGCCATATAAATGATAGCTATCATCATCATTATCCTGCCTCCACAATATCTCAAATCTGTCCCCTTCTCTCCACTTACATGACATGACCACCACTCCAGTTCAGCCCCTCATTACCTCTCACCTGAATTATTTCAACAGCCTCCTAATGATCTCCCAGACACCCATGTCTCCTCACTCCAATTTGTTCTCTACTCAGCCATCAAATTTATATGCCCTAAAGCAAAAGACTGACCACATCAGTCCTCTGCTCATGGACCTCCAGGGTATCCCTCTTGCTTCTGAAAGGAAAGGCAAACTCCTTGACATTTAAAGTTCTTCATCATCTGACTCTGGCCTACCTAGCCACATTTATGACACGTTATTCTGCTGCACACACTTCATTCCAGCTCAGCTGGTCCACTCGCTGTTTGTCTGTCTCTAACCTCCCTGCCTTTCAGTGAGCTGTCCACTGTACCCAGAAGCCTCTCTCTCCTCCCTTCCACCTCTTAGAAGTTGTAGCTTTCTTCAAAGCTCAGATCCTGTCACCTCATGCATAAAACCTGGTGCAACCCCTCCAATTGTTGGTATTCTTCCCACCTACAGATCACTTTGCACTATTCTGTCATATTTTGTATTTTTCTGTGCCCCACCCCCCTTTAGAACACAAGCTTGCAAAGGCAAAGGCTGCTTCATTTTAGTCTTTGTCCCAGCAACCAGTTTTGTGCCTTGTAGAGAATATTAAATGAATGATTATAGATTTGGAGATGGAAATTGTCATATGGAGAACTCACCCAATTCTCTTAGCACATTAACCCATTGGGAACTCTTTTTCCTCAGTCCCTTTTAGATCAGGATGTCTTATAGCTCTAAAGTATTTAGAAAATTGGAGATAGAAATTGGAATTTAATTTCTACCTACTAGCAAGTTTCCATTGTATATTCTTTGGTCTAAGTATTTAGGATGGCACATCTAATCATTATTCATGGTATCATAGATTTAGATCTGGAAGCTACCTTGGAGGACATTTAGTCCAAAACCTTCCTTTTACATGAAGAAGCAAAGGCCCTGAGATGTCAATGACTAGCCCACTGTCACAAAAGAGTGTCAGAAATGATGCTTTAACCCAAGTCCTCAGACTTCAAATTTACTATTCTTTCTGAAAGCAATTTGTATATGGTAAAGCTCAGAGGAAACATTTTACCTTCATGGGGAGAAAAAAAAATGTTGCTTTTTACAGTAGTAGTCCTATACTAACTTTAAAAGTTTATTCTTCAAAATAAAAAAAAATCTGCTCACAGTTCAACTAAGAAAATAAACAAAAATGGCGATGCCATTGGACTGAGTATTATGATTGCATTGCTCATAGGGTCAAAACCATTCACCAAATATTCATGGATCAGTTCACTCTGACCCTTGTCCTCGAGGATCTTTCTATCTCTAGGGGACCAGAATCTCAAACTCAAGGAACAAAATTTTGTTCTGATGCTATAAACATGCAGGTAATGCCCAGTTTACGATCCTGTGCCTCGAAAGTTTCTAATTATATATACTTTTTTGTTGCAACAAAGAGTTTAATTAGGGGATGGGAGATGGAAGGGGATAGGCTGAAATCATTAGAAGTCAACAGTCATATTAAAAAAAAGAAAGCAAAATATTTAAAAGCAGGGAAATTTTCTAAATGAGTTGTTTGGAACTAAAGATATTTCCCCATAGAAACAATATTACTTTTAATTAATTAATTAATTTAAAGTTTTCAACATTCACTTTTATAAGATTTTGAGTTCTAATTTCTCCCCTCTCCCTTTAATCCCCTCTCCCCAATCTGATATAGGCTATACAGGTATGGTCATATTACACATATTTCCACATTAGTCACGTTGTGAAAGAAGAATCAGAACAAAAGGGAAAAAATGAGTAAGAAAAAACAACAACAAAAAAGAGAAAATAGTGTGCTTTGTTCTGCGTTCAGACTCCATAGTTCTTTTTCGGGATGTAGATAGCATTTTTCATCATGAATTCCATCTTTCGGAATTGTCTTCGATCATTGCATTGCTCAGAAGAGCACAATGTTGCTGTTACTGTGTACAGTGTTCTCCTGGTTCTGCTCACTTCATTCATCATCAGTTCATGCAAGTCTTTCCGGGTATTAGAAGCAATAAGATTAATGGTGATTAGGTCCCAGATCTTAAAACCTTACAGAGCTCATTCTAATACTTAACTCCTTTTTTCAGTAATGGTTGCACCTTCTCTCATGACCCCAGTACACTGGTCCTGTAGAAGGAATAAGCAGACTTCTTGATCCCCATTGCATCATCCCAAACCTTCCTCTGCCACCATCACCAAGCAACCTCTCCTGCTTTGTGGTTAAATCCCACCAAACCAAAGCCTGGTGGCTGTTATTTTTTTCCTCCCCCTTCCCCAAAAGATCCCTAGGTCATGATCCCTCCTTCCTCTCTCTCTTTCCTCAAGGAACACACTAGGGGCTCAAAGTCTTCCTCACCACTCCAACCCCTGACCTGATAGCAGGGGTCTTGAACATAGCACACTCATGGATCCTCAAACACCTTAGACTCCTGGTTTCCTCACCTCTCATGACTGATCCTTCACTTTACTTCAGCTCTAAAAAGTAAAGTCACACCTTTAAGCTTACTAACACCCACAACTGTGCCCCTTCGGTGGTCAAGAATTGTTCATTTCCACTATTTGACCATGACTTCCCATCATTCCATCTCACTCTATACCTCACTCCTCATCTTTACCATGACTTCCAATCCTGTCACCCTTCAGTATGCCCTGAAGCTTTTAGCACTGTACTGATGTCATTTTTCTCCTTTCCAAGACTTGAGCCTATAGTTAAGCAGGTCATTGTTAAACTATCTTCTACCCTTAATTGTCTCATCCCTGTGCCTTATTGCCACTTCTGTCTTATCAGACTGCAACTCAAGACTGTTCCATCATCCATCTTCTCTGGTCCTAACTCACATGCTACTGAACTGTGCTGGAGAAAATCACTCCCCCAGGTTGAGTATGTCCACAACACAGATATCTACTGATTCTCAGATGGGGCTGTACTCCAGCAGGCAGCCCTTTTACTCTTCCCTAACTGATCATCATCACACTCCCCAGACTACTCCTTCCCCACCCCCACTCAGCATAGGGTGCCTCATATTTTATAGAGAAAATAGAGACCATTTGCCAGAAGATCCCGTTCTCTCTTCTATATCTCAAGATCCTTGACATCATCCTCCA